GATTTTATGCAGCGTGTGTGTGTGTGTAAAATATATACATATATTTATTTTTAGATATATATGTATATATATTTATATATACATGTATATATATTTATATATACATGTATATATGTTTATATATACATGTATATATATTTATATATACATGTATATATATTTGTATATACATGTATATATATTTATATATACATGTATATATATTTATATATACATGTATATATATTTATATATACATGTATATATATTTATATATACATGTATATATATTTATATATACATGTATATATATTTATATATACATGTATATATATTTATATATACATGTATATATATTTATATATACATGTATATATATTTATATATACATGTATATATATTTATATATACATGTATATATATTTATATATACATGTATATATATTTATATATACATGTATATATATTTATATATACATGTATATATATTTATATATACATGTATATATATTTATATATATATGTATATATATTTATATATACATGTATATATATTTATATATACATGTATATATATTTATATATACATGTATATATATTTATATATACATGTATATATATTTATATATATATATATATATATATATATATATATATATATATAAATATATATATTTGTATTTACATATATGTATATATGAATATATATATACATTTATTTTTTTTCAACAGCCTTTTATTCCACTGCAGGACATAGGCCTCTCTCAATTCACTATTGAGAGGTTATATGGCAGTGCCACCCTTGTCTGATTGGATGCGGTTCGGCGCGCTGACACTTGCCACGGCGGTGACTTCCCCTATGGCACCTGCGCTCGATCTGTCGTTTTCACGCTGTGAGATCGGGCTTGAGCCAGCAGGCATTTTTACGACAGTGCTCTAACCACATATATACATATATGTATATACATATATATATACATAACTAGATATATGTAAGTTTATATGTATAAATACATACATATACATATGTATATATATGAACATATTTACATTTACATATATATACACATATATATGTGTAAATATAAATGTGTGTGTATATATACATATGTACGTGCACACACACACACACACATATATATAGATACATGTGTGTATATATGTGTGTGTGTGTTTTTGTGTGTATATATATGTATGTATATATATATGCATATATATATATACATATATATATACACACACACTAACTAAACCCACAAAAGCTACACCAATATCAGGTACATTCATTGGCTATCTCTTGAGCTATAATCCATTGTCAGTAAGTGACAGTTCTATAATCTACACCCAAATTTCCGACCATTTTCCGCTCTTAGCATCCTTTAAAACCCGACTACAGCCATCAGCTGCATCTAACTCGAAAATATCCTTTTGGTCAGTAACAGATGATGCTAAATTAGTTTAATGGAAACTATGTGTGTTGTGATGTGGTACTGGATAATATCAATACAATTTTCAGAACCTGCTTAGATGAATATTTTCCCTTAAAAGAAAATATCAAACACATAGATCTCATATAAGCCATAGAAAACAAACGAAATTAAAACTTTATCCAAGGAAAGGAAGAAAATTCACAGAAATTTCCCGAAACGACCAATTACTTACGCTAACCAGTTTCGTAAACTATAAGCAGAGCCACACAAATGGTTAGAACAGCTGAGCCAAACTATTATAAAACCAAACTTATTGAAAACCAAGGTAATAATAACGAAACATGATGAACAATCACAGCTCTATTAAATCGAAGCGGAGGCCATATAAACGGGCGAAACAGGCAAGCCGGGACGAGACATCAGAAATAGCAGTTATATTGCAGTTCTAATCGAACTCAATATAGATCATAGTGTATCTGTCTATCAACAAGAAATTAACTCGGTTGGCAGATAGAAATTAATTAAACAAACATTTGAAGAAAAGTTCTGATGCGGGTACATTTCCAATCATTCAAAATTAATAATATGATGTTAATGAAAATGATTAATGATTTCCCCTGTCGGAAAAAAAGACGATCAGTGAGAGACATTGGCGGACTAGATTTTCAGTTGCAATGTTAATTTTTCGGCTCTCCCAGTTAAGTGATTTAGTACATATCTTGATGTAAGTAGGATTATTATCTAGATTTTTGAAAGTATTACTATTTTTTTTAATTGCTTGGGCATATTTTGTAGTCATGATCAATAATTAGATATGCTGGACGCTTTAAAGGATGCCTTAATGAAAGTGGAAATCCTCACTCAATCTTTGCACAGCCCAAACTCATGTACTATGTATAATTTTATTTAACTAAATACAATATTCAATATCCATATCAGCACACACACACACAGATGTATTTATATATATACACAAACACACACACACACACACACACACATATATATATATACATACACAAAGACATATATATAAATGCATATGTATAATTATATTTATCCTTGAGTGTGTGTGTGTGTATGTGTGTATGTATGTATGTATGTATATGTATATATATACTAATACACACACTCACATATATATGTGTTTATATATATACATATATTTATATATACATTTACAGACACACACACATATCTATATGTATATGTGTGTTTGTATGTATGCATATATATACATACATATATATATATATATATATATATATATATATATATATATATATATGCACACACACACACACACACACACACACACACACACACACACACACACACACACACACACACACACACACACACACACACTCACACATGTATATATTCACTGTACAGCCTTTTCGACCCATTTGTATTTTGAGGGAATATTGTGTCCCTGTCGGCTGGAATTCCCACTGTAAAATCATGTGTTACCGGTTTACCAATTGATTCATTTTATTTTACTTAAACAGCAGCTGCGCACTTCATACATTATTGTAGTGTACATAAATTTATTTTGTGTCGTGCCCTTGGACGTGAAGAAAACAGACTTAAGAATTCGTGATCTTGACTAATCTCCTGATACGACGGTCCAGTAGAAAGCAAATCTTGCCATATAAAAAAGACCTGATTATTTTCTACGTACAGTATTTTATTATTATGTTTTATTATTATTATGTTGTTTTGTAGGTTTGCTTGTAAGAAGAGATAAAAATGTGTGATTTCTTTTTCATCTTAGAGTTTCCGTGTTATTGTGAAGACGATTGATGACGTTCAAGGCTGAAACCGGCGGATACCATTTCCGCAAATTTTATTTAGATGAAGAGTTCAAATAGCAAGGAACAGAAGCCACATGACTATCTGAAAAAAAAAAAGACAAAAAAAAGAACGATTTAACTTCTCCAAATTAAGTAATTCCTAGACTAAATAACGGTGAGCATTACCTAGTGACTGGTACCTAGGCGAGCGTATGGCGACATCTGGCACGGAGTTGTGATTACAGCGGTTGCCGAGTCTCAAGATACCAGAAGGCAACCTCCAGTACAGTGCATATCTCTACCTGACCGAGGAAGACCACAATTTATTTCTACGGTTATAATTCGCTTGCAAGTAAGTACAAATAGCTTAATTTGAGATATCTCTTCGTTTAAGAACGTGTCTTCACGAAGGTTAGACAAATGAAATGTAGAAGTATTCCTGTGACTTAATATTTACTTGTTATTGCCCGCTGTTGATAACGACATGACAACAACCCTATTAAGTGTTGAAGATTGTGTTTTAAGTATAATTACACGTTTTAGACCATAAGTTAACAAGCTGGTTGGGATCTGGTGCGATTATTACGTACAGAAATTGCCTTGTTATGTTCCGTCACATGAATGAGCACAGGCGAGAGCGGATACGAACGACTGTCATGTCACAGTCAGGAGCTCGTGACGTCACAGCATTTTGAGGGAGGAATCGGCCGTATCTCTTCGCCTTGAGAAATCGTACAGGGGTGTCAACAGATTTTTTTTGTTCTCCATCCTTCATCCTTCCTTTTATTCATTTGTCCTTCTATCTTCAAGTACATCCACTCGCAGTTAAAGAATCAAATACGAAAGGCATAACATACAGATATCTCCCCAGCCGAAGTTTCCAAACGTAACATGACGCAATATTTGTCTGACGTTCCTCGCCCAGGTAAGACTTGCATTCCACTGTTTATCTTGGGCCGCTGCCTGATACCGAGAGAGGCCGGCAAGAGGAACGCGGGGTTGAATATCGATGATAACTTATTCCCGTCATTTTCACATGATGTGAAGAATTATTTTGGGAGTTGCTAAATTATATTGTCGCCTGTGTTATTTTTATTTGTGGTTTCTTTGTTTGCTTATTAGTTGATTGCTTGATGTATTTATTATTATTATTTTTTGTTTTTGATTTTGTTTTGCTTTGTATATGACTTTGATGTGATTTATGAAGTTTTATCATTGCTATTGTTATCATCACTTTTCATGACTTGCATGAAAACATGAATGTGTTTGTGTAAAAAAAGGAGTGAAACCTGACAATCTATTTTTTTCCATTTATTATAATTATGAATCTACATGATTAGTGTGAAGTAAATATAATCATCGCAGCCTTACATATTTACGTATGATTATCAAGCAACGTTAAGGGGTATGATACGATTTTCTTGCATGATGTTTATGTTACGTTCAGTGATAGTTACGTAGTTGTACAAAAGTGCACATGTATCTTCATCAAAACCACGTATTTTTAACAACATTCTAGATATTGTTGTATAACTGTAGCGAGGGAACATAGCTTCGTCTTTTGTCAACATCATTTTCATTAAGATTTTTTTTTTATATATACACATTCTCATGATTAAAATGTCATAATTCAATGAATTATTATGTGCCGGGCAGACATTAGCCGCCACTAGCATCACCTGAATCCGGTTTTAATCAGACATAGTAATTGTAGTACTTCTGTGATAAGGATAAGAATGTTAAAAACTGATTATTACCGATGTGTTTAGTTTCCCGGTGAAGTGGTATTAATTAT